GTACTACATGTACATAATTGTCTATATAATGGTGTCCATAATTACACGTGGTACTGAATCCAACCTTTAATTTAAATCTCACACCTTCACATCAACAATCGGATGATTGCCACATCACATTATGGACACCATTATGTACAAGTATAATTTTCCTTAGAAATATGTAGGTGAAGAAGACAGAAATACAAGTGGGTGGGTTCACCAAACCATCAATGGGTCGTTTATCATCTGATATTCAAACTTGGTGTCTCAACCGATTTCTAGCATTTTTTATTTTGATGATACAAAATATCCAAAAGTCAATGAGAAAAATTTAACTAGAATCCATACATAACAAAGTTTTTCAAGTTCCGATTCATAGCAAAATCTTTCAAGTTTCAACTAATTTCAAAAAATCGCCAAATAAATATTTCTCCAACATTGTTTCTGCAGATGGCAAATTCCGGCTCACAGGTCTTGCACACTCAAACCTGTAAATGCAATGGATTTAACATTGAAGCGCCCACACACAGCCTATAAATCTGAAGGAATAATAACAGTCAAAAACCAAAATCATCAAATTTTAGCCAACTACAAAGTGAATTTACAATTCAAGTTAAAACTAATTCACGTCTTAAGCTAATTCAAGTTACAATTCAAGTTAACCAAAATCATCAAATTTACAATTCACGTATTAAGCTAATTCTTTTGGACTCGAGGTACTTCCAAGATAAACTAGTGACATCAATAACTTGTAATATAACATCGTTATCATCTGATATTCAAACTTGGTGTCTCAACCGATTTCTAGCATTTTTTATTTTAATGATACAAAATGTCCAAAAGTCGCATCTATAAAGAAATGATAATCTACTCACACCCACCCTTTTTCAATAAATAAAAAATCAATAAACCCAACATCAAATGATTACCGTTTGCCTTGACCAGTCAATTAAGTTATTAGAGAACCAAAATTTAAACCAATCCCTCTACCAATAATTTCTAACTAAAGATGGACAGCTGATGTAGGAACCAAAGAGCCAGCCTCCCACACATGTTAGCCATCGAGAGCCAGTTTTTTGATTCACAAAAGGGATGCTTGAGTACACAATGTACAGGTTTCGTATACCATTTCAAGCACTATAATATCATTTTTACTTAGCATCAAAGTTAAACAGCTTTAGTTAAGAAGTATGAACCTGGAGGAAGGGATTGCTTCAATTTGTCAGCCTTCTCAGGATCAAAGACACAGAGGGTGTAGAGGTACTTTGAGCAACGAACTTTGAACTTCACCACATCTTTGCTCCTCTTGATCTTCACAGAACGTGCATCCTTCCTTCTGGCTGTAAGAAGGAAGTCCTTGATCTCATGAATCTGCTTAGGCTGAGGACCACAAGAAAGAACACAAAAAAATGAGTATCAACAGTTTATAGGCCAATTTTTTCACGACATTTTATCCTCAATTTCCTGCAACAGATAAGAAACTGCAGCCAGAACTATGAAAGGGATAACTGAAAACTGAGAATACAAAATCCTATAAAACACATGATTCTACTGCATAATTCCAGAAATAGTTGATGCTTTCAAATTGATAAGGACCCAATTTAATACCCTTTAAATCTCTTAATTATGAATAACAACCTCAGCCCATGCACTTACATAAAACGTAGATGAATTAACAATTCACATTCATATGCCAACTCCTAGGACATTTGTTCGGCATAAATAAACTTGTCACAGACATATCTTCCACCCAAACATTTCTTTAGGACAATGCTTCTACAACTCACTATATATATGAGCACATTTTTTTCAATTGTTATATTTACAAGCACACAGATGATATTATAGCCTCAAAATTTCTTCAGAAACATCTATGTAAGCGAATTAAAAACTTAGCCTACATTTCATAATCCAAAACCCAGAAAGAAATCCTGATTTTATAAAGAAGCCATAAAAAAAAAAATAGCCAAAAAGAATTGTAGTTCTTTTTTATACATATAAGTAAAACACAGATCCGCATATACATGAGAAATACATATCAAAACATTGAAAGGTGCAGTACCATTTTGGGAGTGAAACTTGAGGAGCGGTTTGATTTGATGACGAAAGCTACGCAGCTTACAAACCCTAATTTTTGGGGGCAGTGAGAGCTTATAACCCTTCGGACATTTTTCCACATACCCTTCATGTTTATGGAGTATTCCACTTAAGCCCATGAAGTTTGCATCTTCGCGAAATTGAGTAAACAGCAAATTTACTTTTCAATTTTTTTAATATTACTAGTCACCGTCACGTGTATTGCACGAATTTTGTATTGATTGTATTTTTTTTAGTATATGAATTTTAGTTTTTTGAAAATTTTTTAAAACAATATCTAGAAATATTTCCATGAGATAAGAAAATAATGGCAAATTATTTTTACAATTACAATATTATTGTGTTATCTAGAAAAAATATGCTTGTATATTTCATGTTTGAATAAGAAATATACGAAGTTATACAAACTATTTTGCCTGTATTATTTGATAGTATTGATACAATTGAGTTGAAATTGAAAATTATATTTCTAAATTCTATGTAATTCAATATTGGAAAATTAAAGATTGAGCACAAAGTTATAAATTGAATTGCATATTCATATGCGTTTATATTTTGTACTTCATATATTTTAATATTTATTTTATGCTTATGTTGAAAAAATAAAATTCTGGAATTTTTTTCTGACGTTCGATTTGGTAAGTGAATATACGATGTTCTGTATTCTAGATATTTGTAAATGTAAAAATTGGTATATACGATAAGCTGCAAATACAGTATGCAGCATATACATTAAGTTGCAAATACGTTAAGCAACATATATTGTAAGCTACAAATATGATAGACAATCGTATTTACGCATACTGTAGTTACAGCTTACCGTATATGCAATATATCGTATTTACAACTTACTGTATATGCAACATACCGTATTTACAGCATACTATATTTGCACATATTGTCTTTAGATATCATATTTGGCAGATATTGATTTTGGTAATTCAATATTGTTTTAATTATATTTTCAGAAATAATAAAAAAAAAGAATGGTAGTTATGAAATTGCTAATTTTTAAATGTAATTTTTTTATTGAAGATAAAAATGATTTTTTTATGCTATTTGTAAAATATATATATATATATATATTGTAATTTTATTTGTGTAATAAAAATATTTTTTATGATTATTTTAAAAAATTTTAAAACCACACGATAAATTCATACTTTTAACTTGGTGGCTTCAAAAGTCTTTTGTGTATCAATAATACATTTTCCATTCGAACAATAATACCAAAATCTTTGGTATCATTCTTTCTTTTTCTTCTTTTCACAGGTTTTGCTTTTTTTTTTTTTTTATCTTCCTCATTTTTTAGATTCTTCTGTTGTTAACAATGATTATTTCTTTGAGAGTTTTTTTTGTATTATATTGAAGTTAAACTTATTCTTGTAATTATATTTTTTTATTAGATTTAATTCATATTTTTAACTAATAAAATAACAAACTAAACAAATATTAGGTTGCACGATTAAATTTAAAAATAAAGTCGTCGCATGATCGCACAGATTGTACGATTCCGCAAAATCTGCGCGGAGACCCCGCATTGTGTGGAGTCTCTCCGCACAGTTTGTGTGGACACATGCGTTGCACTGTGCGGAGTTGCTCTGCACTGTGCGGAGTGGGGAGATATTTAATGTTTGAATTGCTGTATAAAAAAAAAAATTGAATGTTGTAATTTTATATCATATCATAATAATAATCTTTCACTTTAATACATATTTTTAAGCTAATATAATAACAAACTAAAAAATTGTAGAAGGCAAATTTCAATTATTATATAATATTCGGTTGCATGATTTCTAGCAATAAAAAAAAATTGTGTGCGGTCCAACTCCACAACAAATGTGCGGTGTTTGCGGAGACTACGCACATTTTGTGCACAGTCTCCGTACATGGGGAGAATCCATACATTTTATGCGGAGACTCCGCACATGGAGAGACTCAGCACATTTTTTTTGTGCGGAATCTCCACACATGGGGCTGAGTTTTTTTTTTTTTTTTTTTTTTTGTATTATATTGAAGTTAAACTTATTCTTGTAATATTTTTTTATTAGATTTAATGCATATCTTTAGCTAATAAAATAACATAGTAAACAAATATTAGTTGCATAATTCAGCCAAAAAAAAAAAATGAGGAAGTCCACACTTGTGTGGAGACTCCGCACAAATTGTGCGATTTGTACAGAGTCTCCTCACAAGTGCGAACCCTGCACAGTACGGAGTTTCTACACAAATTTGTGCAGAGTCCCCGCACAAGTACAAACTCTGTACAGTGTGGAGTCTCTATACAAATTGTGCGAAGACTCCGCATAAAATGTGCGAAGTCCGCACTTTTTTTTGCGGAAACTCCACACAGCACTTGTAATTTTTTTATACATTTAAATTATTAAATTAGTAAATCAGACGAAATTAAAAATAGATAAATGGATTTTGTTTACTTTTTTGTTACTAATATTTTGAGAAATTTGATTTGTATACTTTTTTAGTGTATTTTTTATTAGCTTAATATTTATTATTAATGATTATTTTTAAAGCATTCTATATAAATAAATTAAATATAATTGTATATTAAAAATGGACCAAAGAAAGAAGACAAATGCACTTATCAAGTAATGATATCGTTTAAATAAAAAAAAAAATCTCTGCGTATAATTCGGAGAGATCAATTAATCTTTTTGAACTGTGCGGAGAGAACAAATCTCTCCACACAGTGCGAAGAGATGATTTGTCATCTTTCTGCACTGTTTGGAGATTTTTTTTTTCAACGACAACAAAATATACCAAAAGTGAGATCAAAAGCTAAAACAAATATAATCACAAAAAACATATAGCATTGAAAAGTACTGACTACAAGAATATGGATAAACAAAAATCAATTGTTTTGAGAAGTAATTTCTCTCCTCCTTCTATCAACAAGAAGAAAATTCTCCTCAGGTCATAATGCACAACCCCAAAGAGTGACAAGCTTCCACCACACCAACTATAATGTTTGAATGATTCAAAAAATTCTCCTCAGGTCATAATGCATATTTCATTTTAAAGAACAATTCAAAAAGTTTTTTTTTTTAAAAAAAAAAAAAAGGTTATTCCCATAAATATAAAAAATAAGAATTACTTAAAAAAGCAGCTTTTACTTATTTTTATGCTTAATAAATTTTTATTATTATTAGTTTTTTTGCCCCAACCAAATATGAACTTCCATTAAATCAAAATTCTGCAAACAACAAGCGAAATGAACGGAAACAAACAATCAACCGAACACTTATTGCCTGGGAAAGTAGTAGTTAAGGACACAAGCGAGTGGGTCATTTTATTCGTTTCTCTAGGGTCACACCCTAATTCATGAAGAAGCGCTACACTATTAAAAATTAATGCACCATTCAATGCAAACATGTTGCTTGATTTAAGACGCTGGGCTAGTTGGGGTACATCAAACCTCAGCAAACCTAATGTATAAAGCAATAACATAAATATTAAGTAAAATATATTTTTATGTCGCACCTTATATGAACGCTGTAAGAGCCCATTTGACATGACTGTTGAAAAGTTAAGAGGAATTTTTTTAAAACCCAAAAGTTGTTTTTGACCTGTTTGGCTAATTTTGTTAAAGTGCTTTTGGTAATTAAAAGAGCACTTCCAGAATGGCAAGTACTTTTAAATATTAGTTTTCAAGCAAAAATTACGATATCTTTCTCTAAAAATTCTTCTACAAGAAGCAAAAATAAAAGCAAAAGTTATATCAAACGGGCCCTAAGCATGTGCTGTAAAAGAAACTCCTATTGTCGTGAGGGAACCTATTTCCAGCTTTGATTGCACCAACCGCATGTGATCTTCATAAGCCCATCCATCAGTGGTACTATCATTCGCCTGCTGAGACAAGAACAAGATCGAACAAGCCCAAGCCCTGTTTGGCGTGGTTTAAAAATTTGATAAATAATTAACTCAACATTTTAATTACACATTTCATAGAATCAACAACTTTTATCATTTAACCACACATTTTATCAACTTTTATCAAAATTTACTAAAAATCTAATTTCTAACATTGCCAAACAGGGGCCAAATAACAATTGGTCCAGCTGGTCACTGTGTTCCTACATATGTACAATTGTTTCTCTCCATCCAAAGGATTATGCATATATGTTCAAACTTCTCCATTGCTGGTAAATGGTTTTTGAATAGTTGTGGTTGTTGAACGTTGTTTGTGGGAGTTCTATGCTATAGTAGTAGGGTTCGCTTTCCCAAAAAAGTGATATTATTACCAGTAGATTGAACAATAGTTATCGTGTGAAAGCTATTAATGGTCCATTAGTTAATATTATATTTAGGGCCCGTTTGGTAGAGATTTTGAGAATTGACTTTTTGACCGTTAGAAGAAAAGTGGGGTTCACATGTGAAAGAAGAAGTCAAAAATTACGGCTTGAATAGTAAAATAACGGTCAAAAAATCAATTTTTTGGAGCAAAAAATCCCTACCAAACGGGGCCTTAATGATTGATATAAATATTATCGATAATATTTATTTAAGGTTATTAGTACCATTACTAGAAACTCTATAACAATTTGCATTACCATCACAAAAATTTTTAATGACAACAGAATATTCGATGACTCGTTAGCCATTGTGTAAGCTATAATCAAAACAAATGGTCTTATTAAACAATAGCACGACATGGGAATTAAAATCAACATGAAAACATCACCTTTATTAACCAACCGAAAATGTCCCATTTTTTCAGGGCACTTATCCTAGCAACTGATTCAAAGTACATTGAAACAAGATTATTATTCGAAGTTTTTATTTTGCAAAAAGACAGATAAAAGGAAAACAAGCAAGTGGTTATGTAATGATATTCCACAATGTGACGCTTCAATCTCTAACGATTTGATTAGGGTCGACTGCATAGAGATTTATCGTTTTTTTGAAATTGCGCTAAATCTTGCGCAGAATGAGTGGAGCACCGTACTGTGGTTGCACAGTAAAAATAACATAGGGGGCATGTGTATAAGTTGGTGCAAGCTCAAAGCAGAAGTTGCTCAGAATATTTGCCAAGACAAGTTTGGC